ATATTGTGCAACAGGTTAAGCAAAATCAATGGCATGATCCACACCTCTAAGGAATTTGGATTCGAATCCAGAATGGAGAACAATTTGAGGATTGGAGAATCCGGGAGGATGGAGCCTTGTATTTCCGCAACCACCTTGCTGTTCCTAAGGCGGGTGAGGTAAAGAAGAAGATTCTGTAAGAGGCACACAAATCGATGTATGCTATTCATCCAAGGAGTACAAAGATGTACCAGGACCTGAAAAGATACTACTGGTGGAGAGGCATGAAAAGAGACGTTCGTGAGTATGTCTCGGAGTGTATGACTTGCCTCCAGGTTAAAGCTGAGCACCAGAAGCCAGCGGGGGAGTTGCAACCTCTTCCTGTCCCTGGATGGAAATGGGAGCACATCACCATGGACTTTCTGATGGGGCTACCGAGAACCGAGCTGAAGCACGATGCCATCTGGGTGGTGGTGGACAGGTTGACGAAGTCTGCGTACTTCATACCGTTTCGTGCAACGTATTCTCGGAAGATTCTGTCAGAATTGTACCTAGAGCACATCGTGAGGTTACACGGGGTGCCACTGTCTATCACGTCAGATCGTGATACCCACTTCAATGCACGGTATTGGAGGAGTTTCCAGGAAGCCATGGGAACAGATCTGAATTTTAGCACTACATTTCATCCCCAGACAGATGGACAATCTGAAAGAGTTATTCAGATTCTGGAGGATATGCTTCGTGCTTGTATTCTGGAATTTGGTGGAAACTGGAAGAAATACCTACATCTAGCTGAGTTCACTTACAATAACAGCTATCAGACCAGTATCGGTATGGCACCGTTCGAGGCGTTGTATGGTCGTCCTTGTAGGTCACCTGTTTGTTGGTTGGAACCGGAGGATAGACTTACAACTGGACCGGATGTCATTCAAGAGAATGACGAGAAGATAGCTGTGATTCGAGAACGCCTGTTGACAGCTCAAAGTCGACAGAAGAGCTATGCTGACAGAAGGCGTAGGCCTTTGGAATTCCAAGAAGGCGACTTTGTTCTGTTGAAGGTTTCCCCACGTAAGGGAGTTACTCAGTTTGGTGTGAAAGGGAAGCTTGCGCCAAGGTATATTAGACCATTCTCGATCGTGCAGCGAGTCGGTGTTGTGGCGTATCATCTTGCCCTGCCGCCTGAATTATCTCATGTGCATGACGTGTTCCATGTCTCCATGCGTCGGAAATGTCAACCTGATCCGGAAGCGCCCGTGATCTGCTCGGTATAGTGATGGATTTCATGGCCGACGTCTAACCGGCACGAATACGCCGACATGAAACGAGTTCCCCGCGGAGCATTTTTTCTTTCGTCCTCGGACGTTTTGTTCGATTCCGGCACTTGCGTTCTCATGCCCGGAAACCTCGCGATTGATTGGTAGAAAGAGCGAAAGCGAGAAAGATGGATTGTTATCCATCGGAAATCGATAGGAATTCCCCGGGCCTTCTAATAGTTACGAGGCCATAACAGATGGTAAATTAGCTGGAAAGAAGGCAGAGCTAACCCTTAATTCTACTGCTCTCTAAAAGGCCTGCCTATTCTATTAGTCAAGCTTGGAGAACATAGTACTCGGACTTACTAGATGAAAGACCGTGATTGGTGAAGGGCTTAAAAGCGCCTTAGGTAGCTGCTATCTATCGGATCTTTTCTAAGAGGTTAGGTGGTTGAGTCGAAGCGGAGAAGGAGACTAAGTCATCGGTCGTGCCGGGATTGATTTCCTACTTCCAGCTGAATGAGGGCCACACAGCCGTCAACCCTGCTGGAAGTGCTTTCTAGATCCAGTCTCCTGGTCTTTCGTTCGCTATTCGAATGTCTTGACCAGTAGAAATGTACGAAAGGTGGTCTCGTCCTTTCCAACTAGTAGCTAGTAGCTCCGTCGTTGATCTCTCTCTCTTCCGGCCTATTAAGTAAAGTAAGTTAGTTCGAGATCGAAACTGGACCTGAGATAGACTTCTAGTCTCAATCTTCCTATTGATCAAAGGCTATGCTATCTTTAACTCGACTCTAGTGAAGAGGCAGAGTTACCTCACGAATTGGATTTGAACCTGAATGCCCTTTCTTTATTATTAGGGGCATTCAGGTACACTGAACCTTGTCTTCAAGTGAGATAGAACCTTATTCCCTTTCTGACCTAAAACAAGCTGACCTCCGAATTTTGATTCCATTCCTATTAAGGGCAAGACTGAGACTTGTCTATTCCTAATAAAGGAAAGAGAAGAGTGACTTAGCTACCAGAGCAGAAGAGAAGGCCAGAAGGAATCCTTTACTTACCCCTAGGAAAGATCTCTGTACTTCAAACTCTTGAATTGAACGCAGATGTAGTTGGTCGCCCCTGTCTACTGAACTAGTTTTTCTAGTAATGTGTTCACTCTTCGCTCCTGGGATTGTAAGTCTTTCCTTGCCTTTCTTTGGTTATGATCAAGGGCATTTTAACTTAAAAGGGGATGCCCCGTGGCGTGGAATGGGAATGGTCCCCGGCGTTTAATCTTGGCTCAGAAGAAGGCTAGCCTTATGCTTGACTCGGACTATTTAATGATAAGGCGACGTGATGAAAAGCTACCAGACGAAGTCAAGGAAGATAATGGATTTACATTTCCTTCTCTCGGACTTACGGGCTTCAGCTCCTTGGCCTGGAGGTTTCACCTCTCCTCCCCTCTCCCTGTCGGGAGAGCTTCAGGTAGTCCGCCCTTTCCTTCTAGTCCAGCTGGAGTTCTAACATAGACCCTCTCTAAAAAAAAAGTGTGAACCTCGGTATTGTATTGCTATTGGTATCGCTCCTGGAAGCCTTTCGAAAAGTAAACTATGCTCTTACCCTAAAAAAAAGAAAAGTAGGGATACCTGGATAAAGGCACTAACGCTTAAAGTCTTAGACTGGTGATCTACTACCACCCTTCGTCCATAACCTAACCCCTCGCTCCAACTGAACGGAGTCTACCCTTGACCTTTTCCTTTGTCAGACCTAGCCTATCGATCAAAGATCCTACGCATCATTATCCTACGCTAGGCATGTAACGAAGATTCTCCCGCTTTTGGTAACTGGGATTCAAAGAAGGATTAAAAGATTTATTGAATTCCGTTCCGTCAGGGGCTGTTTCAACAGCAATAGCAGGAATAGTAATCGAATCACCGGCAATGCTAGAAGCAGCCGAAGTCGTTGCATTAGTGGCATGAGTAATCTCAACTGGAGCAGGGAAACTAGAAGGAAGTGGTGATAAAACTGCCATAGTAGGAGCTGCCGGCGGAGGGGTCACAGGGGTGACACGCTCCTCAGTACGCACCACAGGGATGTAAACCATATCATCATAAGAAGTGCCATTAGTAGAACCTGGAGACTGGATAGTAGCAAACGGAAATGATAAGGAGTAGCTGAGTGGTGCTACGGAACGATCAAGTGAGGATTGTGTTCATCCTCTGACATAAAGTGTAAGGAATATGTAAGAATTTGTAATAAATGACATTTGGATTTACTAGACTGTGGATGATGTCTGTTGTAATTGATTATTTACATGTGCATGTATGTACGATACTGTATGTCCTGTGGGGTGGAGCCCTGTGTGTCAGAGGCTCTTGGATTATGTCGTTTATTTATATTTTAATGCAGTTAAGTGTGGGACCCGGTTGGGAATCTGCTTTATTAATCCCAAATCGAGTTCCACGTCACCCACCCCGATTGGGGGGCGTGACACATCCTTATGGAAGATCTGGAGTATGCAGCCCTACTTAGGTTAGGCTTTCCACCAACAGGCCTTTTGAAGTTGGAAGAAAGGGAGGGAAGAATTCAAGGCCGGAGAGTCTTCTTCGAATTCTTTACCCCGCCAAGAAGCTCGAGGATCAGGCAACTCAGACAAGAAAAGGAGGCCGTCGATGATATCCAGCATCAAGGCCGAAATCCCAAGACTGAGAATTACCGAGCAGCTGCCCACTTCTACTAAGGTTTCTCGTCTTAAGGCTAAAATAGAAGAAGTCCCGCGAGAGTTTTGAAAAAGACGGTCTGTTCCCTTACCCCTTTGGCTTTTGGGGAACGTCACACATGGGAAGCACTTCAGCTACCTTATCGTAAGGGTTTCGACGAAAAAAAGCATCCCCACTAAATTAAGAGTTTAGATGCCCGAAGATCTAAGAAGGTTGAATCAGGAATAAGTGGGTGATTTCTTGAATCAGGGCCTAATTAGGCCAAGTAAGAGCCCATGGTCCAGCGCTGCAAAATACGTCAATAACAGAAATGAGCAAGAAAGGGGAATCCCACAGTTAGTGATAAACTAGAAAGCCCTTTCAGAGGCCCTCCAGTGGATTAGGTATCCCCTACCTAATCGACAAACACTTTTTCGTTCGTAAGCACTGAGCGAGCCGCCTTGTCTCTGAAGCTTCGCTGCTTCTCCTGGTTGCCTTCTTTTCTTTCGTGCTTGCTTATGGTAGGCCCTTACTGAGGGGTCGTATTCGCTCAAGAGGGCTTCCTCTTTCGACGCTTCCGAAGCTTGGTCTTCTAAGGAGTTAGGGGCTAAGTATGAAGCGATTAACCAACCTTCTTTGGAAAGGTATTACTATTAATTATGTTTCCTGCCTAAGTAGAGCCAAGATTCTTTTTTTTATTCCATTAGGCTCCTTAACTGAATTGTTTTTACTGTCACCCTTATCTTATTAAAACAATAGAAAGGGGCAACTTGTCTTAGGCTGGTACTACTTCCTAGCGCGCGAAGAACTACCAATTATCTATTTTTAAGACCTTTCAATGTGCCCCTTATCTATATAAAGGTGGAAGAAAAGCAGGGCGAGATGAAGACTAGGATCGTCAGATGGCATAAGACCATGACACTAGCTTTCATTACCTCAATAACGGAGAAAGTTCCACTTGGTCCGAAAAAGCAAAAATTTCAATGAAAATCTGTGGGTGATTCGGGAGAGCCAGCAACAAGATATGACGTGTGCACAGTGCCCATGTTGACAAGACCCCAAAACCAAGGGATTGACCTGGGACAAGCCAAACGATTCCTATCCCTGCCTATCTGCATAGACCTGACGACGACAAAGCTGAATGGGAAAAAGGGCCTAGCTAAGCAAATGTACTAGGAATCCGGCGGACTGAACGAATTGAGCGACTGATCTCTTCCCCAGCCTTAACCATGGAAGGAAAGGGAAGAGCACAGGTCTTGAAAGGCAAATGCAAATCAAAGGATGGTCGAGGATAGTCAGAAGCAGATCCACCTTTTAGGCTTTTGTAGTAAGTAGTCAAAGTTCACTTATTAAGGAGAGTCAGGGGCTGGGGCTTGGTAATCGTTCAGGTAGACATGATAGCTAAAATGAAGAATTTGATGAAGCTGCGGCAGGATCATAATCGGCCTATCAGGATCGGAAAAAGTAAGGAAGATTGTCATCGGTTCAAAGACCATAAGAGGAATCCTCACTATTTCTCTCACACTCACCTGGTATGATAATCTACCCATCTCTTTACAAAGAAAACACTTTTGTAGGTATACAAAAACTCTCTCTCAACAGCCTTTCTTTTTCTTTCTTTTGCTGCTGGAACACTTAAAATGAATTGTAGGGGGGCTCAATTAATAAAGCCTCCATATGCGTTTCTTTTTCTTTCTTTTGCTGCTGGAGCACTTAAAATGAATTGTAGGGGGGCTCAATTAATAGAGCCTCCATATGCGTTTTATTAGGCATCGTTTTCTGTGCCTAATTTTTCCTCTTTATAGAATGTGGGTTGTGCTGCCTTCCTCATTAGTTGTACCAGGCACCGTTTTCGGTGCTTAATTTTTCTTCTTCAAAGAATGTGGGTTGTGCCTACTAGGTTGAAAAAGAGCCCATCATCACTAAGTTAGGGCATTGTACCTTTCAGTCTCAATACCATGTTTTCTCTTCCCATTTCCTTCAAAATGCATGATGATGGTGGTGGTGATAATAAAAATAAAATAATTTTATCTAAAAACAAATGTTCTTTTATCAAAACATTTTATAACTTACATCTTCGACCAAATCAAGAGAACTGGCATGAAGATAAAGGGAAAATATATATTGACCCTTAAGAGGAAAACTAACGATTCTTTATTTCATCTCTTGATTGAAGGGGGGAAAAGAAAAAAAAATGACTGTATGAGAAGAGAGTTACACAATATTCAAACTAAGTACTATTGGTAATTAATTATTTATTCTATATAATTCAAACGTGAGAATCGAACAACACCACCAAGATGATCTCAAGGGTAAAGCTCAATGAGAGACCTTGCTCCCATTTTTGCATTGATTTTATAGTGACTGAATCCAGCCTCGAAGAACAGCTTCTCCCATTCCATTAAGTTATGCTCTTTGCCGAATACGGTGCCCATCATCATCACGTCAGTGGACAATTGTATTCCAGTGTTATTTCATTCGTATTCTGGTTCTCAATTACCATTTCAATAACTATAACTTTTCCTCCTTTACCATTTCTCAAAATTGCTTCTCTACATCTCTTCAGAATGGTCAGACCATCTTCATCATTCCAATCATGCAGTATCCACTAGTTGAGACAAAGCAAAAACAAGTATATTTTAGTCAACAAGCAAAGAACGTTCTACATCTAAGATATTTCTAAAAGATTAAAAAGGCTGAGATGTGTTAAACAATACATGTCCATGTAATTGCAACAATAGCGAACAACGTCATCGCAAATAATAATTACAAAATATTCGTATAAATGTTAAAAAATTAAGTTATATCTGCGACGACATATTTAAAGTGTCGTCACAAATAGTCCACATTACTAGTGACGACAGTTTAGTCGCAAATGGTTTTAAAGACTTTTGCGAAGACATTATGTCGTCAGAAATACGGTATGATACGTCATTATTAACAACATATTCGATGGACTTATTCGTGACGACTATCGTCGTTAATATATTAGCGATGATATTTTAAAATTATGTCGTCGCAAATATATTAGTTGCTTCGGATTTTTTACGACGACTAATTTGCAATGACATGCAAATAAGCTTTTTTGTTGTAGTGGATTAAAACGGCTGAAATGTGTTAAACAATATATGTCCATGTATTTAGGGCCCATTTGATAAATAGGAATGAAGGATGATGCTTTGAACTTTTATCGGTTTTAACCAACCATCAAAAGGTTTTAACAAATGTCGGTTCAAAACAACCTTTTAGTTTAAAACACTGGAATCTGTTTACCAAAAGGCATGGAGGTATTGATACCTAGTAGATGCTGTATGACTGGCATGATTACTTAATAATGGTTGAATATACACGTACTTGAGCAAAATTCCATCCGTAGGAGGTATAGTATCAGTGAACATGTTTCCTCCGATAAAGTTCAGGTTGTCAGTTCCCTCTAAATTAGCGACGACATGCGGGAGGTCAAACACGGTGCATTTGATGTGTGGGAAACTGCTAGCAATGGCTTTGGCCATGGTTCCAGTGCCTCCTCCAACATCAACCAAAGTCTCCAAACCCTCAAACACATTCTTATATTCAGTTAGAATGACTTTGCAATTAGCTGGGAGTCATTAGCCATTGCCTCATTAAAGAGATGAATATGTTTTGGCTCATCAACGAGAAAATCCCAAAAGTTCTTCCCATTCCCGTGCTCGAATATTGTGCCATCACTTTGCTGTAACCAAGTGCTCAAGGAGTGCCACGGAGCCATCGCTTCGGGAAGAAAGCCAAGAAGAAAAAATGATTTCATTTTGATGAAAGCAGGCCCGTCGCTTAAGAGAAGCCGGGAAACA